CTGACATTTCTCCATTAAGGATAATACTTCATACAGATTCTGTGATAAAATTATTCTGGTTTTCTTCTAGTCATGTTATGGTAAGATTTTCCATTAGGAACTTTAAGTTTTATTTAATGTATTTGAAGCATTGAGGGTGGTATACTGTCATATACATTAAACTATATATTTCTTAAAGTTAAACTGGGCTTCCTAGGTGACACTAGTGGTAAAAAAAAAAACCCTGCCTGCCAATGCAGGAAACATAAAAGACATGGGTTTGATCCCTGGGTCAGGAAGATCCCCTGGAGGGAGGGCATAAACCCACTCCAGTATTCTTTCCTGGAAAATCCTATGTACAGAGGAGCCTAGCGGGCTACAGTCCATGGGGTAACAGAGTTGGACTTGACTGAAGCGACTTCTCACACATGCATGCACAGTGTTAAATTATCTTTACATTACTATGATAAACTGTACTTGTGTATTGTTATTTTTTTAAGACATTGTTAGATTCAGTTTGCTAATATGTTGTTTGGAATATATGCATATATACTCAAACAGAGTTTAATATTAATATATACTTTTTATTGAATTTTGAAATCCATATAGAACTTGGAAAGCTTTTGATCTTTTCCTGTGTTTTGATTTAAAAATGTGAATAATCTCTTTCTTGAAAGTTTGATACAGCTTATTCTTAAACCTATCCAGGCCTAATGTCTTTTTTAAATGGTAGATCTTTGAAAACCTTTTGAATTTCTTCCATTATAATCTGTTTCCATTTTTACCTTTTTCCTAAATTTCAGTAATTGACATTTTACTAGAAAATCTCTGCTTGACTACATTTTTAAATAAAGTTGTTCATTGTATTTTCTTTTGAATCTTTGTTATGCCTGCAGTTATTTTTCGTTACATTTCCAAAGTGATTTGTGTCTTATCTTTCATTAGTCACACTAGCCAAGTGTCAGACTTTTTTTCTTTGCCTTTTGAAACAGCCAGCATATCAGATCTATGGCTTCTTTTTTTTCTAGGATTATTTTCTGCTTTCCCTCTTAATTCCTTCTCCTAGTTTTTCATGATCCATAACAGGGTTTCCATGCTTTTTCTCTCATTGCCCTTTCTAGTGGGAAAATTCTTCAGTTTAATTCTTGCAATCCCCACTCCTAACCCCGCCCCACACACAGTAATTTAATTTAATCTTGTTCTTTCTTTTGCTCTTTTTTCTTTCTCCCAACACCCCCCTCCCCCCGCCGCCTTTTTAAAAAATAACCTCCTAGTAAGTAGTAGGCCTATTTCTTTGGCAGTTAATGTTTGTTGAACTTGGTGAGTTACATTCTTGCTTTTAGTTTTCATGTTTAGTTATTCTTGTTTTGCTCATATTTGTAATTGAAGGGTCTATATTAAATATATTAATTTTTCTCTAGTTTAAGTAGGAATCCCATTTGTATGCCATTGAATCTAGCTTCTGATTAGAGTCCATCCTCTTGTAATAGAGGAGGAGAAGTGGAACTTGTAGGAAACTTACCTTCTGAGTTTCTGGACTTTCCTTTCTTCCTGGAATCTCTGAGTAAATTGGGACACTTCCCTGCTTTTCTGGATCCGACTCAGCTTTGTAGTGTTCTCACTACATGAAACAGCTTTCTGTTTCATGTATTAAGGTTTTCTGTGTAAGAGTTGCCTTATGGTAATCCATGTTAGAATAGTTATTATAGATCTAGTTAATGTTTTAATAGTTTATAAGGTTAATTCTCTCACTGCTCCCTGTTATAATTTTTGCATATTTTCTTGTGTATCTTTGATATGCTTTTAGGATGACTTAATTAAAAAGAACTATTATATTTTTTGATAGTTCATGTTATTAGGTAACTAATTTATAAGCCAGTGAGTTGGCTTGTTAGGGGCAATTGTTTCTTCACACTGTCCAATAATATCCCAACAAGTGAGGGAGATTGGATTATGCCAGCTGTTAGAACATTATTTATTTTATTCACAGCAGAGTATGGAATGAAGGTGTCAGGGCAGATGCTTTCAAGTTTGACATCCTGGTGCAACTGGAGCACCAGGGTGCGTCATTCCTCACTCACCACTTAACCTAACCTCCTGACCAGTTTTTCTCTGCCTTTCCTGCCTGTCAATTCTGAGACACCCAAAACCCAGTTTTCATTCAAAAGGAGAAGATGGGGAAAATTCCAAGACCCCTCACCTCATCTCTCACCTTGGTGATTAAATAACCTGTAACAGGGTGGGTAAACTAAGTGAGAATTTTTTGATAGGAACATTAAGAATGACATCTGAATTCAACTCCAGAAAACAGCTCTACCAGGGGACAGTAAAGCCTTAGCAGATGTTCTGAAACTGCTCATAAGAAAGTGCTGGAGAGTGGTCCTCTAGGTATGAGCTCTAAAAGCTCTGGACTCAGTGGGGCTTCGGCTGGTCCAGTCTGGGCCTTCAGAATCAGATGACCTGGGGCTGCCTGGCAAGCACACTGCAGTTGGTCTGTCTCAGTCTTCCATGAGTCCTTCAGGTCCATCACAGAATACAGCCCAATGTGTTACACAGTTAACCCTTCAACAGCACAGGTGATTAAGGCCATCCACCCTCTGCACAGTGGAAAATCCCCTTATACTGTCTTTGCGGTTCCGTGTTGGCAGATTCAACTAGCAGCAGATGTTTAGTACTCTAGTACATATTTCTTGAAAATAATCCACATATAAGTGGACCTGAGCAGTTAAAATCCGTGCTTCCACTGTAGCTTCCTTCAGGATCTCCGGTTTGAGGAAGCGTATGTTTACTCTCCTCACTGTAGAGGATGTGTGGCACCTGTTGGTTGTTGGGCCACTGGGTTAGGTTTTGGCTGCTGACTGGTGGTGTGCTGAGAGCTCCCACTTTGAGATTTGACCACAGGCCCTAGCTCAGGCAGTGCCTTCACAGAAAGAGTCCTGTGTCCCATAGGCTATCTCAGCCATGCAGCAAGGTATCAGTGAGGGCTTTGCATACACCCTTGAAAAGAGTGTTAGTGTTTCAGAAGATGTAGCAGATGGGATCCGAAAATCTTGCCCATTAAGGAACAGGGATTCTGGCCTTCAGCTTGAAGTGGGTTTTCAGAGTCACAGATGGTGGTGAGGTTTCATCCTGTGCAGACAGTTGTAGCAGTTCTGACTTACAGCTGTAGCAGTCTTGGACCATCCTTCATGAGGACGCAGGGTTTGTACTTGATATCCCAGAGTCTGGATAGTCAGATATCATCTCCTCTTTGAAGTCTTTGGGGGCATGACGCCTCTAGGGATATGAGGTTAATTTCAAGATTTCATTGTGAATCTCATGATTTACTTCTTCACAAAAATTAGTAGCAGTACAAACACCAGATTCTTGTCAACCTTAACCAGCACACCATTCACCCAGACTGGCTTCCCTAACCTGTGCTGAACTGCAGCAGTTTACCCCACTCCCCTGCCTCCTCAGCCCAAGTTCCCTGGAGCAGCCCAGGTCATTTCCCTAGTGAATTGGGGGAAGAAACATGGTTATTTAGGGGATCTATGGTAGTTCTATCAAGTGAAAGTGAAGATCACTCATCCATGTCTGACTCTTTGCAATCCCATGGACTATACAGCNTCAAGTTCTACCAAAAAGGGTGGGGGAAACTGAGATTTTAATAGGGACTGCATTAAAACTATCGATCAATTTGAGGACTATTGCCATCTTAACAATATTAAGTCTTCTAATCCATAAAATTTGATATCTTTTTATTTATTTGTCTTTAATTCTTTCAGTGATATAGTTTCACTGTAAAATCTTGCACTTCTTTTGTTATACTTGTTTCTAATGATTTTATTGATTTAATGCTATTGTAAAAGGAATGGTTTTGTTAGTTTCATTTTCAGAGTGTTCATTGCTAGTGTATAGAAGTACAAATGATTTTTGTACTTTTTTGCAACCTTACTGAACTCGTTTATTAGTTCTAATAAGTTTTTTGTATATATTCCTTAAGATTTTCTGTATATGAGATCATATCATCGGCAAAAAGGGAAAGTTTCATTCATTTTTTATCTGGATGCCTTTTTCTTTTTTTTGCCTAGCTTTTTGTTGGCTAGACCCTTCAGTACAATGTTGAGTAGAAATGATAGGAGTAGATATCCTTGCCTTGTTCCTGATCTGTGGCAAAGCATTCAGTCTTTCATCATTAAGTATGGTGTTAGCTATGGGTTTTTTGTAGATGCCCTTGAGCAAATGAAAATTTCCTTCTGTTCCTAGTCGAATTATTTTTTTTTATCATGAAAAGGCATTTGATTTTGTCAAATGCTTTTTCTGTGCTTATTGAGATACCACGTGGTTTTGTTCTATTAATACAGTGTATAACATTGATTATCATATGTTGATGAGCTACACTGTATTCCTCGGATAAATTCTGCTAGGTCATTGTGTACAATCCTTTTTATATGTTGCTGGATTCAGTTTGCTAGTATTTTATTAAAGATCTTTGCATCTGTGCTTATAGAGGGTATTGGCTATAGCTTTCTTGTGATGTCTTTGTTTGTATTTAGTTTCAGGATCTCACAGAATAATTGGAAAGTGTTCCTTCCTCTAATACATTTTTTTTCAAGTTTGTGAAGTAATGATTTTAGTTCTTCAATGTTTAATAAAATTCAGTAGTCAAGTCATCTGATTCTGGGCTTGTTGGAATGAAATTTCTTGATTACCTAATCCAATTTTTTAATTTTTTTATTGGTTTCTTACAATTTTGTGTTTCTTCTTGGGTAATTTTTTAAAATATGAAAAATAAAAAGAGAGTATAAACTTCTAAGTATGTATTAGATAGTCTGATAAAGCCCCAAATTGCATATAAAAACCTGTCCTGTTGCTACTTCATGGGAAGTCAATTTGAAATTTATACTGTTTAACAGTTCAGTTTTTCTAATGTGTTTTTCAAGAATGTTTATTGTTAATGTATTTTTATTTGATTTATTTTAAAATCATATTTCATAATAGTTTGGAATTTAAGGTTTGCTTCTTTTTTTTTATCTCAGCAGCAATGCAGCAAGTGTTGGATAACCTTACGGGGCTGCCCTCATCTACGGGAGCAGAAGAAATAGACCTAATTTTCCTCAAGGGGATTATGGAGAATCCTATTGTAAAATCACTTGCTAAGGTATATTGATTTATTCATAAGATAACTAAATTCTTTTTAAATTGTTTTTACAGAGGTCTTTTCAGATTAGTGTTTTAAAACCTAAGTGAGTATAACTTAGACTTAGTTAGCAAATGATAACAGTTAACAACTAATGAAATCTTACTTTACACAAAAATCAGGCTATTTTGCCTTCTCTATTGACTTTAAAGTTTTAGGGGAGCAATAACTGAACAGTTGTATTATAATGGAAGTCTATGAAAAAGAATCTGATTTTGTCTCCATTTTCAACAACAGCAAGGTACTGATCTTCTTCTGTTATGTTAGACCATATACCTGTTTTTCAATTTAGTTCTTGACTTCCTATAACTAGTTCTTTTTTGAAATTTTTTTTATAACCTGATTTTTTAGTCTATTTCCATAATCAGCTCTGTAGTAATCTTTTTTACTCATCCAAAAATATGGTTTTACAACCATTTTTGGTCCAGTTTTATTTCAATTACGGTATTTCCCACAGTAATTTTTATAAATGTCACTAAAACTGAGTGTATTAGCTGTTTCGCAACACTGCTCTCCCATTCTTCAGATGGTTTCTTGCTTTTAAGAACCTATGCCATACACTCTCTCTGACCTTTTCTTTCCTTTATTTTTTAATAAGATATTGAATATAGTTCCTTTTGCTCTTCAGTAGAATCTTATTATGTCTCTGACCGTTTCTTCATGTAACCATCTTGTCATTCGTGGAGTGTTGATTTTTATCCTCTCCTGAGATCATTTTTTGTAGCATAGTCTATCACTTGTTTTCTTCTAAGACTTCTGAAAAATCATACTTTTTCCTAAGTGTTCTAATAGAGTGAGTTAGTGATGCAGTTCTTAATTTTATTCATAAATGTAATCATTCTAAGGTCACATGGTATGAAGGCTTGGGTTCCTAAGCAGAAACTAGTCCACTTAGAGATCACCCAACTAGAATTTTTATTTTAGTCATGTTTGACTGCAGTCTTTGCAAAATTTATTAGGTTTTCCTTTAACAATAATATATAGGATATAATTTACCTTCATATTTAACCTTCTTGTCGCAAATATCAATCACTATGCTGTGTTGAGATAAATAGCTTCAGTGTCTTAGAAATAAGTAAGTTAAGTGTTAGTTGCTCAGTCGTGCCTGACTCTGCAACCCCATGGACTGCAGCCCACCAGGCTCCTCTGTCCATGAGATTTTCCAGGCAAGGATACTTGAGTAGTTTGCCATTTCCTTCTCCAGGGAATCTTCCCAACCAGGGATCGAACCCAGGTCTCCTGCACTGCAGGCAGATTCTTTACTGACTGAGCTCTACAAGGGAAGCCCTAGAAATAAGTAAGGGCTGTTTAAGCCTACTAGTTAAATGGCTCACTCTGAGCTCTTACTGCCAGTTTAAAAGTAGTGTTTTATTCCTCCCTTAATGTCATACCTACCTTACTGTTAGTTGTCAGTTTTTTTCCTCTTACACCCCATCCTTATGTTTATTTAATTTAAAGTTTTTAGATATAGATCTAGAAACTCAATGATATTATGCAAGACATCTTATAATGTGCTTATTGTTTATAAGAGTTTTTAAAAATTGCTATTTCATCTTTGCAAAAACATTATAAATTGAAAACTAGGATTTAAAATAGAAAAATTATTTGCCTAAGGTCACTCATCTAGAAAATGACAGAAATACTTAGGCCAGGTCTTGTTTCTTCAAATTCTTTTCTCTTTCTTCCACAGAGAAGAAAGTGTCTTCTGTGTATACACAGTGTCTCTCTGTGTATATTCTTAAGAATTTCTGTGCATAAAAAAATTACTGATTTTTGTGTCATTGATGTTGACCTTACTGAAGACCATTTTGTTCACTATTCTCAGCAACTAAAATGGCTGCATGACTTTTGAGCAGCTGAAATGCTATTGTGATCTTTTGATGATAAAATTGAAATAGGAAAAAAAAAAGAATCACTCAGTAGTAAACAACATTCAAGCAGCTTCTCAATAAATAGAAGCAGTGGTAGGTGAATATTCCTCCATTGAAGGTAAAGATATCCCAGAAGGAAGAAAGGACTTCTGCTTCCAAGAAAGAGATGTGAAGTCATAGCAGGCCAAAACTCCCAGTACCAGTAGGGGGAAAGATGGATTAACTGCTGAAGAAACAGCGAGGGTACATTCCTAGACTTGTGGAGAGGCAAGAACATGTGACTAATAATCATGAGAAGAACAAAAGAAGCAGTCTTATAAATAATCCTTTTAAAAGTTTATATACAAAGATTTTTAAGTAACATTTTTAATAAAGGAAGGAGGGGAAAATAAAGACATTTAAAATATTACTGGAAAATAAGAGTCAAAAATAATCAAATGGTTATTTGAGAACTCAAAAATACAATATCTGATTAACAGCTCATTTGATGGGTTTAATAGAAGACTAAACACAGCAAGCAAGAAGACTAACAAATTTGAAGACAGGTCAGTTCGAAACATCTAAACTGAAATTCATAGGAAAGTACATATAGAAAAGACAGTATGTGAGACATACTTAAAAGGTCAAATACACATGTAGTTAAAATCCCAGAAAAAGGGGGCAGGGGATGGGGCAGAAGAAATAGTGCAAGACACAATGGTCAAGAATTTTTAAAACTAATGAACAACATCAACTGAGAAATTCAAGAAGCTGAACGAACCCCCTGGCAGGGAAAATGAAAAACATTCCTTTGACTATCACAGTCAGACTCCTGAAAATCAAAGATGAAGTAAAATTTGTAAAGTCCCTGAAGAAGAAAGACACATTACCTTTAAGGACAAGCAGTAAGACTAATAGTTAGCTATAAAACAGGAACTATGACAGTCATAACAGAGTGGATTGAGATCATTAAGGTACACAAAGAAAAACACTGCCAACCTCAGATTCCCTCTTCAGCAAAAACAACCTTCAGAAATAAAAGCAAAATAAAGGTTTTCTTTTTAGACAAAGTCTGAGTAAAATTATCTCCATTGACTCAGCAGGAAATGCAAAAGGAAGTTCTTCAGGCAGAAAGAATGACAATGGAAAGGGAGTAAATATAAAATAATACTGACTTTTAGGATGAAGTAATGGTAATGTCTTATGGCATTGATAGCATGTTTATAAATGAAATATTTGAAGATGATAGACCAAAACAAAGGAGAGACTTTGTGATTCAGACAGTTATAAGATGCTTTTATAAGATCAAGGAAGTGGTCAAAGTAATATCTTAAGGTTGTATAAAAAGGTTAGGGATGCATATTGAGATCTTTGAGGTAGCTACAAAAGTAAAATTATAACAATGAACAAATTCCACCCAAACCTTAAGGGTGAGAAAATAGACTTGAATTACCTTCACTCCAGAAACAACTAGCAAAAAGGGTGGAAGGGAGTGACCATCTTCAGATACAGGACTGTGATGCCTGAGAGAAGGGAGAGAAGTGAGGTGAGCATTATGAAGCTATCTCAGGCCCGTTGCCATGCCTGGTGCGGAGAGAAGTATAACAGCCCGGCAGTCTTAATAGAGCTCAGGGCTTGGGGAGAAGGAGGTGACTGGACCTTGTATGGCAAAGTATTGGGGAGGAGGAAGCTAACCCAGACCAGCCCTGGAGATCTGTTCAGGGATGCCTTCAAATCTCTGGCTGAGTGCTGACCTGTGCATATGTGAGGCATGCCTCTAGTGTCCAAGGAAAGATCCACTGGAAAGCACAGTAGGCCAGATAATTTCCAGGGCTCAAAAGGGATGGGGGATAATTTAGTTTGCATTCCCACCAGCCTGAGTTGAAAAGTCCTCATGATATGCAGGGCATTGGGCAGAGTTCACACTAAGTTTCTTATAACAAATCTAGGAAACTAGTTACAGACTACAGCAAAATCAAACTAAAAATTAATAACAAAGTTATTCCCCAAATTCCCAAATACGTCAAAGGGCATTCTTCTGAATAGCCATGGATCAAAGGAGAATCACAAACATAAAATATATTTGAATTGAATTATGTGAAAATATATAACAGAACTTTGGGGTGCAGCAAAGCAATGCTTAGAGGGAAACGCCTGTATTAGAAAAGAACAAAGTTTAAGTCAATGATTATATGTATACCTTGAGAAAATAGAAAAAGAACAAATTAAAATATGCAGAAAGCAAATAATAAAGATGAGTGAACATAAAAAGATGAAAAAAGCAATATAACTTTGAATATATTAATAAAATTGGTAAACCACTAGCTAGACACAAGTTATCATTATCAGAAATGAAAGAGAGGACATTGCTGCAAATCCAGCAGACATTGCGAGAATAATAAATATTATGAACAACTTTGTGGCAATAAATATGATAACTAGAGGAAGCTCATTTCTTGAAAGACACAAGTGACTAAAGTCTACAGAAGAGTGGATGCCCTGTGTCTGTTTTTTTATGATTGAATATTTGCTATTTAAAACCCGAAGCTTCAGCCTGGATGACTTCTAAAGAAAATTCTATCTAAAACATTTAAGGAAGAAATAATACCAGTTTTACATTATTTATTCTAGAAAAAAGAAAGGAAAAACACTTCCAATTTTGTTTTACTAGTCTTGGCGTTACCCTGATATCAAAACCAGCTAAAAAGAGTTCAATTAAAGAAAACTACAGAATAGTATCCTTAGTGAATGTAGACTAAAAGTTCTTAAGAAAATATTAGCAAATTAAATCTAGCAACTTACAAAAAGGGTAATACCTCATTACCAAGTGACTTTTGTCTTAAAAATAAGAGCTTCCTTCACATTTGAAAATTAATAAATGTCGCCATTTTAATGATATGATAAGAAAAATCATATGATTATATTCATAGTTGCAGGAAAAGCGTTTTGTGAAATTGAACATCCATTCCTCCTAACAACTCAACAAACGTAGAAGGAAATTGCCTCAACCTCATGAAGGGCATCTATTTAATTAAACCCCATGGTTAACATCGTCCTTCATGGTGGAAGACAGTGCCTTCTTTCTAAGATCACTTCTGCTCAACTTTTATC